TTTTTTTAAAAAATTTTTTTTTTTTTTTTTTTTTTTTTTTTTTTTTTTTTTTTTTTTTTGTCCTTTTTGAGACCAGGCGCACCGTGCTCAGCCAGTGAGCACTGTGAGCGCACCAGTCATTTCTATATAGGATCTGAACCCGCGGCGGGAGCACTGCTGCACTCCCAGCGCCGCACTCTCCCGAGTGCACCACAGGCTCGGCCCCTTGTTTTTTAACGTAATGTTTTAAGAACAGCAGTAAGAAAATCAACAGGTGGAATATTCCAGCTTCAAAAATTTTATGTTTATATAAGCATGAATCAAAATATTGAAAAATATTTGACTGATCTAGCAAAAGATGATTGATACAATTAGGTGGAACACATATTGGCTACTTCATATATTGCTATTTTATTAGAAATGTTTTCAAAGACAGTGTTCTACATGATCAGAGGTTTTGGTATCTTTTAGTCTTGATTTTCTCTAAAATGTTATGAACATGGTGTCTTATGGATACTCTCAGAGTACCATACTTTAAAACACATTTAAACCCTAATTGAATAGTATTAATGACTCTGAATGTATACTTCTAAGTACAATTATATTTACCTAAAATCATACAAGACACAGAATGTTTAGTGTGTCTGACACAGGCAGTCTGAATTAAAACAATGGTTCTCAAAACTTGAGAGCCTCTCAAAGGGGTCTGCAAAATCAAAACTATTTTCACAGTAATACTGAGATATTACATGCCTTTTTCATTGTATTGACATTTTTACTGATAATACAAAAGCAATGACAAAACTGCTGGCTCCATAGCATGAATCAGGCAGTGGTACCCAGATGTACAAGTAGTCATCACATTCTTGACTGCCACGCATTCCAGCAAAAAAAAATAAATCCCAGTTTCACTTAAGAACATCTTTGATGAAGCAGTAAAAATTACTGTACCTTGATCATCAGGCAGTGGTACCCAGATGTACAAGTAGTCATCACATTCTTGACTGCCACGCATTCCAGAAAAAAAAAATAAATCCCAGTTTCACTTAAGAACATCTTTGATGAAGCAGTAAAAATTACTGTACCTTGATCACTGAGTCTTTTTAATATTTTGTGGGATGAAATAAGAACTATGCATAAAGAACTTATGTTGCACATTGAAGTATGAGGTTATGTCCTCAGGAAAAACACTGTGTGATTTATTTGAATTGTAAAATAAACTAGATACATAAAACACCATTTTTACTTGAAAGAAAGACTGACACCAAAATACGATTTTTCAGATTTGGGAATTTGACAGGAATTATCTCACTAACACACCTAGTAATCCTGTCATTTCAAGTAAAATAAATGTGTATTTGTTTCCAAAGATAAAATTTGAGCTTTCAAGTAAAAATTAGAATTTTGGAAAACTTGTATCCATCACAGTAAGGACGATAGATTCCCAATCTCTAAAGACTTTTTAAAAGAGATCAGTGATGATATTAACAAATGTGATTTTTTTATACTGTATTATTATATTGCATAATGAAAAGTATCAACATCTGAATGATCTACATAAATCAGTGAATTAACATTTTCCAAATAATCTTTGCATGATGCCACAAAATCATATGTACAAAGTTTGAGGTGAATCAATGAATTTTAATGCAACAGAAGACAAAGTTTCAGAGTATTACACATATCACAACTAACCTTTAAGAAAATACCATTGCCACTTTGGTGCAGTACCAGAGAAGAATATCCACAATAATCTAAAAAGACTTAATATACTCCTAGCATCATCTGTGTGAGATTGGATTTTCTTCATATTCTCCAATCAAAACAGTGTATCATAACACTGAATGCAAAAGCAGATATGAGAATCCAGCAGTCTTTTATTAAGCCAGACGATAATGAGATTTATAAAAAATGTAACTCAATGTCACTCTTTCACTAAATATTTCTTATTTTGGAAAATATAGGGGTTTTTTTGGTAAAAATCTTATTTATGTTGACATGTAATAGGTTTTGTTACTGTTGTTTTTAAATAAATTAGTAAATATTTTTAAAATTTCTCAGTTTTAATGGATGAGTTTTGAGAAACTTATGTTGAGTGAAATAGGCAAAACACAAAGGGATAAATACCGCATGTACTCATTCGTAAGTGGGAGCTAAGAGAGAAAGAAGGAAGGAAAGAGAGACCACAGTGGTGTGATGGACTTGCAGAGGGAGACAGCACACCTAGGGATACAAAGTAGAGTGGGGTTAGGGGGATGGGGAGGGAGGTCAGGGATAATTGGGTGGGGGACACCGGGTATAATCACAATTTGTGGTAATGGGAATGCTGCCAGTATGGATCTGGCCAACACATCTTGGGCACGAGTAGTGACAATCAGCTTTGTATTTCATGAATATTCATAACCAATTTTTAAAAGATTTGTATAATAAAAAATAAAAATTTCTCAGTTTTAGTATCTACTATGATATAAGTATCAATTGTTATAACCCTCATAAACAAAACTCCTTGGGTCCTCAATACTTGTGTAGGGTTTAAAGGGAATCTGAGACCAAAAAAGTTTGATAATCACTGGATTAGAACACTAATTTCATGTATTGTATCTTATTTTCAGTTATGCCCTAAAGGTAAATATCATCCGATGAATCTCAGAAGCTGTACATAAACAATGTAATTCGAATTTCAGGTTTCATACCTATACACATATACATTATGTATACCTATGAAAGATTGTAAGCAATTTGTATAAATAGCTATTTTCAAGTAAATTTCAGACACCAAAATTATATAGGACCTTTTGAGATTTGGAATTTTATTTTTCTAAGAGAAGTTTTTTCTCTTTTGTAAAAAATGTATTTTATATTACATCATATGAGTAAGTCATGACCACCAACAAAAAAGATCTATAACTTGTACTTTACGTTAGAGTCAAATTTTCTTTATTAATGATTCATCACAACACTCAATGAGTCTTACTCAGGATCTAATTTGAGAAATACCTCCGAATTTAATACTAGGAGAGGGAATAAAATAGTAAAATCCCACAAAACTATCTCCCCAGCACATTTCTTCTTTTTCAGTAAGAGTTACGTAACAAGTTTTCTCTTTTGCCTTAGCTGCTGGGCTGCTCAAAGGCAAAACTCATACTCACCTCCATATCTTGACCTAGGCTTGATATTCCCCCAACTCCTGTGCTATGTTTTCCCCTTTCCTTTCTATTTTGTTTTCATATTGTATTTTTTGTTTTTAGGCTACCTCAAATCCTTTCCAGAAATAGATGGGTATAATTAAGCTAAAATAATAATGACAAAATACACAGAAGTAAAAAAAACTTGTATCACATACAAAATGTAAAAATTTACTTAAATTTATTTCAATTTATAACATATTTTGGAAGCCTGAGGTCACTGACAGAAATACATTATTAAATGATGTAATTATATACTATATTAAAACAAAATTACTGAAAACACTCACCCGTCTATGCCTTTCTCTGTCTTTACATTTCTCTCGTACCCAGTCAATAGTATGGAAATCATCATATGTACCAACACCTGGAATTGGTTCATCCAAAAGATCCAGTAGGTGTGTAGAACTGTTAATGCTGCCTCCATTTGTCATTGTGTAATGAGTTCCTACAGAGCAAAAAAAAAGAAAGATGAGTATGTTTTATAAGAGACAATAGTGAGTTATGTAACCTTCTTAGAATTTCATTGGTAAGGGCCGGCCCGGTGGCGCACTGCTATAGTGCGCCGCTTGGGAAGCGCGGCAGCGCTCCCACTGAGGGTTNAAAAAAAAAAAAGAATTTCATTGGTAAGTCATACATAAGAAGTAAAATCTGAAATAATTTCACTGGGAAAGCATGGTACTGAGAACACCAAGGTCAAGTGTTTGGATACCTGTACCAGCCAGCTACCAAACCAAAAAAAAAAAAAAGCAATTTCAATAAAATAGAAGAAAGTGTTAAGAAAGGTATCCAAAACTTGGAAATAAGGCAAAAAGATTACGGCACATCCTTTCAAAGCATCAACAAGCCTGCCTAATCCTCATCTGATGCTCTGGAAAAGAGAATTTTGTGTGATTTATAATTTACTATTGGTTAAGGGATAGACTCTGTAAAGTTAGAAAATAACTTATAGAAGATTGACAAATTGAAAATGTTGATTTTCGTCTGGCAAAATGCAAATGATTTCTGTCCAGTAGAAAAGACAACTCTTAGAGTTGTGGTTTTGCTTGCTTGTTTGTGCCCTATAAGAAATTTCTTAGGCTGGCCCGTGGCTCACTCGGTAGAGTGCGGTGCTGATAACACCAAGACCCCGGGTTCGGATCCTATATAGGGATGGCCAGTTTGCTCACTGGCTGAGCGTGGTGCTGACAACACCAAGCCAAGGGTTGAGATCCCCTTACCAGTCATCTTTAAAAAAAAAAAAAAGAAATTTCTTTTTCGGGCCAGCCCGGTGGCACACTGGTGAGTGCGCCGCTTGGGAGCGTGGCGGCGCTCCCGCCGAG